ACAAAACTAGTAGAGCCCCTAGACGTACCACAGTACTGATGCTTCCATGTCCATATAGGTGCAAGCAAATTAGGTTTGCATAAGTGAGCTTAAGTGCTGTATGCTTTAAGTAGTGTGAAGCACATCTGTTCATCGACACTGCCTGATCTCCTTAGGTTCTGTGTTTTGTGGTGTGGAAGGATGGATATCTTTCAGCCTCCAGGTAGGACATGGGAAGCCTGAAAAACTGTTATCTTTCCACCTGTGTGTGTAAAGATATTAGGGGATCATCATCTCCCTGCACAAGCTTCCTTCTTGTGCCCGTGGTATCTTTGGAGCAGTCCCAGGGACAGAGACCTTTAGGCTCATCTTGCCTGTCCCCTACAAGTATCGTGGGACTTAAGCGGTCACAGGAACAGTCTTGCTTTGAAGCCGTTGTTTATTTACCAGGCTGCACGCATTAAGAGGGGAAGGGAAGAAGGGAGACTGGCAAACAGGGAAACATTAGGGATCTGTAGCTCTTTTTTAGCCCACCCCGTTGTGGTCTGATGTGCAGGAGCTCTGTGCTGCCTTATCAAGATTGAAATGGCGTCCAGTCTTGCATAGAGAGAAATACATAAGCAACTGCAAACTGTTAAAATTGCCAAGAATTTCAGTTTCTGAGACAAAGTCTGGTAGTAATCCTGTTGCAGGGATCAGCTTGAACTGTCTTGGGGAAAGAGGTGAGATTTTGGTGGTTGATCCCTTCACCTTTAGATGTATGCTGTGGTTCTGCTTCAGCTGTTTGTGATCAATGGCTAGGGTCTTCTGATCTGAATTAAAGAGCCTTTTACTAACAAGAAGGTCATTAAGTGCTTTAATCAGACACTTTTTGCTCTAAGATGTTCCTTCCAGTCCCCAAGTCAGAAAAGAGCCACTAAACAGTACCAGTTAATCATATATCAAAATTGCATTCAGTAATTCACTCTCTGCCTCACCAGTGCTATGCAGAGACTCACACTCTGTCCTTCAGACTCACTTAGGGACATGGTTTAGTGGTGGGATGGCAGGGTTGGGTTGAAGGTTGGACTCGATGATCTTGGGGGTCTTTTCCAGCCAGAGCGATTCTATGATTCTATGATTCTATTATGCCCAGTGGCAGCAATATTAGCCCTTGCTGCCAGAGCTTTATCCCAGTGCTAGCGGTGAATAACTTGCCGCTCCAGCCTGATGTCTCTTCTGAGCCCTGTGTGTCCCAGACTGACCAGTGCTCTCCTCCCTTCCTTGGTGCTTAACTTGGCTGTGTTGCAGGATGATCTCCTGCCTAGTTGATCAATCTGGCTCCCACAAGTATTTTTAATAGAGACAGACAGAGGCTGTTCCGGAAAGGAGCCCACAGAGCGTGAGAAGGCAGGTTTGTAGTTGGAGCAGGCAGAAGAGCCGTGCCTCTGAAGGGAGAGCTTGTGCGCTGTGCTGGAAGAGGCTGCCCGAGCGCTGAGGGAGCAGAGCAGTGTGATGCCAGCAGTGCCTCTTTTCTCACATACCCTTCTGATCAGAGGAAAGCATTCATGAGCTGATGAAAAGCTGCTCATTTATCTTGCTTGTGGGTTTTTTGGGGGATTTTAAAAAAAAATTTTTTTTTTTTTTTTTTTTAAACAGTGCAAAGATGGCTGTGAGCTCTTTGGGTTGGTGTTGGGTTACCGTGCACACTAACGCAGTGTGTACCATTCTCCATTTAGCACTCCGGACTCCCCAAATGGAGGGCTGTCTTGCTGGAAGTGCTCTCTAGGGAAGTTCCCACCCTACCACCGTATGGTTAGCTGATTCCTGCAGTGAAACAGCGTGTGCTTGTCTGTCTTTACTGGCAGAGCCTGTAACCTTCCCGCTCGGTGTTTGGTTGTGGGTATGTTTGGTTTTTTTTATTGGCAGTTTGTAAAACGTAATGCTTGTATGTTCTCTCTCGTGGCTTTTAAAATAGAAGGAAGCTCTTGCTGAAAGAACACACAGTACCACCAAAACTGAGGTAGCATCTGCCCCCATAAGAGCTTAGAGCAGAGGTATAGAGTATATGTCTGCAGTATAACGTTTTACATTCTTCCCCATCACTGCTTTGCTTTTGCCTTCCCCTCCGTGCCATTGCCAGGATTCTCAGGTACCTTTTGAGTGCATTGATCTCTAAAGCTCTTTGGGAGCAGGAAGCAGCAGCTAATGAGCTGACCTGCTTTGTTCTCTCAGCTGAGATCAGTTATAATGTATGTACCAACCCATTTAAGGAAATTCAACATGAATGAAGGCAAAAAGATGGATCAGCAGAAAAATGTGACCTGGACTTTGCTGGTGGCTCCTCTGTGCATCAGCTGAGGCTGTATATAGCAACAGAAGCCTTTGGAAAGATGATGTGGTGCGGGATGGGTTGGAGAAGCGTGAAGGTGAAGGACTGCATTGTGTACAATCGCCAGCTCCTCCTTATTTACTCCTGCTCTTTAAAATGTAGAGATCTTTCTAGTAAAAGCCATGTTACACTGCTCACCCTTTTCCTACTGGGACATGAGCTTCTTGGGATTTTTAGAGGCAAGCAGTTAAAACGAACACAGACTCCTGCAGAGGCTTTGGTCTTTTCCTTCCTGACCTCTTCTTTGCTTTAAGCTGACCACTTCTGCACTCTCTGTCGCTCATCATGATCCTCCAAGGAGTCAGGATGCTGTAACAAGACTCTCTTTGAAATGTCAAGTTACAAAAGGACATCTCCCGCATAATTGTTCCCAAACTTCCTGGGTGAGTTGTGAGCTGCTGCAGAGGATTTTGCTCAGCAGTCCAACAGCTGACCTCATTGCCGTGAAATGCAGGCCTAGAACAGATTGTCTCTAAGCTGCACGCTGAGTTAAATGGGGAGACTCTGGAATTAGTTTGTTAAAGCTGCTGTGTCCCAGTTGAGAGCATTTCTAAACTGGCAAACAGGCTGGATGTAACTAGCTGCTGCCCCCATCTTGGCATGTGACGACATCTGCAGCACTGAAATTTCATGGCAAAGCCATTGCTCTTCTGAGCACCTGGCTTGACAAAAGGAGAGGAGAGAGGCCAGTTACGCATGGAAATGCCAGAAGCCCTGGGATTGACGAGCTGTTGAAGCACTAGGTTCCCAGTGGCTTGGCTTCGCTGCATGGTGTCAACTGCCCAGTTACTGAAGATGACAAGAAAGCATTTTCTTCCCCTCTTTGCGAGATGCATCAGTTTGATACCTTGCAACCCCTTCACCATTTTACCTGTTGCGGGGTTTTGCATGGAGGAATACACCCTGCTCTGGGGAAGCTGCTGTGTAGCACCCAATCTTAGTGGACCAGTATCTTCGTGCGTTCTTGTAGAGGCTGCTTCTCACAGCTGTAAGACTCTCCTGCTGTACTTGCTGGCTAAGCTAGGGAACAGGGGAGAGCCCCCCACAGTGCAGAGGGGGCTTGCCTTGCTGGGACTTGAACCGTCAGCCTTTCTTGCCTCAGTGTTTTAATTAGCTGCTTGGGGGAGTTTGCAGGTAGCTGCCGGCATTTGCATAAAGGCATGGCTCCGAGTATGTTCCAGGTTTGGGGCTGTGAGCAACTTTGGCTGTACCTAGAGCACTTTCTGCCACCACACACCCCAATTTAGAGATGCCACCAAGGGCCTGGAGGTGGTAATGAACGACACTGCACTGATGTTGTCCCTCGAGTGCTTCTCAGGCCAAGGCAGATGGTTTGTCTGTCTTCAGTAGCTTGACCTCATGCTCCCAGGTGATGAACAGAGAAGTGATGTGCAGCTATTGATGTGCCAGTAACGAGCTGTTGGCACAGCACCTCTCCTGAGGTTACAAAGATGGGTGGAAGTTCATCTTGGTTCAAGTTAGGCAGTGTTTCACGGAAGGAAAGGACTGTGGAAGGCTGATTGCCTCTGACTTATTTGACCTATGGGTGCATGTTCCCTCTTGATCTCTGAGACAAGCAGAGTAATTGGTTTTTAGATTAGTTTGATAGTGACAGAAGTTGTCAGTTGGGCTCCCTGCTCGGACCAGATGGGATGTGCACCACTTTTTGAGTGGAGAGAGACTCATTCTCCCAGCTATCCTTTGCAATATTTGTTTCCCTTCATTTTTTTGTGTGGCTGTAGGAGAGCTGGCTGCTGTGGGTGTAACACAGACATTTTGACACGGGGAGGGAGGAGTGGTGATCACAAAGCAGCAATGACAGAGCAACTGACACTCCAACTGTTGTCTTCTTCCCTAGGTTGACCGTGTGAGCTATCTGCTTCAGGAGATCTACGGCATCGAGAACAAAAACAACCAAGAGACCAAGGTAAAAGTGCTCAGGAGGCCCCTGCTCCCCGAGCTGTGGGTTTCTAGCCTGCACCTTCTGCTTTTGAGCTTAACTATGGGGCTTGGCAGGGCAGTGTGGAGACGCTTCTCAGAATAACTGTCAAGTCTATGTGCAGGCACTGAGGAAACCCAGGGATGGCAGGTCCTCACCGTTGCAAGGCCCAAAGTGGAGTTGTGCTGAGATAATTTTAGATAGAATGAGGCTCTTGAGGATATTTCCTGGGGCTGGAATTGCTGTGAGAGAAGAATATCAGTGCCCCATGGGGCAGAGCACTGATCTTTAGGGCTTGTAGAGACAGTGGGCCAGTGTCAGCTGCTGCTCTTGGTGCCCTGAGGCTGCTGGCCAGTCTAGGTCCTTCCCAGTTTGCACAGCCAAGAGTATAGTATGGGTTTTTTTCTCACTGATTGTACATGAGCATTGCCTCCCAGGCTCCTCAGAAATCTTCCCTCTGGTGCCCACACCATCTTGCTGCCTCTCTGCAGTCAAGGCAGTCATGCCTCGTGTGTCTGTGCTTTGCTCCTGTGGTTCCTTCATCATCTCCTGTTTGTTGGGGGGTTTTGTTTTATTTTTTTCTAATGGGGGAACTGCATGTTCCCATAACGTTGCAGGGATCTGAGCTCCTTAGGGCTTGCCAGTGTCTGGAGAGCAGCTTGCATCCCCCAGCAAGAGGGTGCACAGCATCACTAAGGGATGTATATGCAAATACCTTAACCAGAAACATTGTCCATCTTCAGGCAGGAGCTTCTGCTGAATCCCAGCTTGATGCACAGCCCTGTGCAGGTTGTGTGACTGCTTTATGCTTGCTTTAGCCTTACGTAGAACTGGCCTTTGCTGCCACCTGGGCTGCAGCATGGACCAAGTGCTGGCCTCAGGATCAGACCGCTCTGGTGTGTGTAGTGCATGGTTTGCAAACAGAGGAGTAGCCAAAGAGCAAGACAAGCAGGATTTCCTCTCCAAGCAATGCAGTGTCCTGCCCAAAGCGTCCTGTGATCTCTATCTGCCTGTACCAACAGGTAGAGCCTGAAGAGGCAAGCGGGAGAAGTCTCTTCAGAGATTTTTTCTTGCACAGGATCCCTTTAAGAGATTTTGTTTGGGTCCTCCAGGGTCTTGTGATGATTCTCTTGATCCAGCAATCACACATTTGTGGCCCATCGGACAAGTGGCCTGCGGCCTTTTTTGTTCTTCCTAGTGTACTTAGCAAACCATGTGAATGGGAAAGCAAAAAGCCTGCCCTATCTACCTCTCAAAATAGATGAAGAGCGCATGTGATGGGGCAGACAGGCTTGCAGCCTTTTGCTGGCATAGTCAACAGGCTGGGTGTGGATGTGGCAGCAGCAAATGCTGGATATTGCAGTTTACACCAAGGTTGCCCATGGTCTGGCATGTGTTAGCCCTGGTGACCAAAGGGGCCTCGTGAAGTGGGAACAGGCAAAGGTGGAGGGTGGCCCATGCTGGGTCATCACTTTGGTGGGCTCTGGCATAACTTCTGTGGCATCGGTGGGGAGAAGAGGGGGTTCTCGGGTATCAGTGAAGAGAGCTCTTGTGGTTGGAGAGTTGGTTTCTCCTCCCAGCAATGGTTTGCTTGGTGGCTCTAATCCAATTTGTGGGGCTCTGATGGAAGAACTAGTGTGATGCATGTTCACGTTGAGTGGGTTCACACTGACCTTTTTACCAGGGTAGCTGTGAGCGGGTGAGCATCCCAGGCTGGTTCTCCTGCAGCTATATCAAAACTTATGCCAGCACAGGAGACTGGTGAAGATGATGTGGCAGGAGAACTGCTCACTCCATTGCTTGTTCAGAGGACCTGTGGAAACTGGGCCAGACATCGCTGGAATGCCTCCTGTCCAGCCTGAGGGCAGCCTGACCCGCTGCCTGCCACGGTCAGCAAGCAGCTCCTTTTGGGGCTGCTTTCTAAAGGCTGGACTGCCAAAAAGCCCACTTCCCTGCTGACCTTGGGAGCCACCAGGCTGGCAGACAGGAGTTTGTTCTTGATCCCCCACAGCCAAGGGGATCCCTACCCCAAAGGGGCTTCCCTCTGCACACAGTCTAGCTCTGGGGAGGGACAGCTATGCCGTGAATTCACAGTACGGTGCCCTGGTCTCTGGCATTAAGCGAGCTCAGAGCAGAGACCCGAGAGGAAGGAGTGTCCGTAGCAGGGCTGTGTGGGCTGGAGCTTGCTCTCCTTGAGAAACCCCTGTTGAGAGCTGTGGAAAGAGGATGCCAGCTCTCTGACAGACTTTTGGGTGGGAAATTTCCCCAGGCTTCAGAGTCCCTTGGCAGTTCTACATGGTCCTTTCCATTCAAATGCCAATGTCTTGCCTCTCATTGCAGCCTTCAGATGACGAGAACAGTGACAACAGCAACGAGTGTGTGGTTTGCCTGTCAGACCTCCGCGACACCCTCATTCTGCCCTGCAGACACCTCTGTCTGTGCAATTCCTGCGCTGACACCCTGCGCTACCAGGCCAACAACTGCCCCATCTGCAGGCTGCGTGAGTATGTGCCCAGGAATCAAGGGCACCTTTCTTCCTCCTGGGCTTCTGTTAAGTCAGTACAGGCTGTGAGAGGGAGGGTGTATTTTATATACCCCACCCCAAGCCTCAGCATCAAACATGCTGCTGCTCTCGCTGGCATCTGGAGATTCCTGGCACCTAAAATAACTGTCCCCGAACAGGGAAGGAGGAGAGGACATGGGAGAATGGCCCTTTGTCCAGTGCCTCCCTGTCCGCTTGACCTCTCCCTGGGATGCATCTGAAGGTGTAGGTGCCATGTAGGCAGCTCTTGTGGTTTGATGAAGAAGATGGAAAATCTCCCAAGGGAAGCAATGTAGAGGCTTTATCTGAGAGTATGTGGCCGAGCCAGCACCCAGCCCCACTGGAGGAATGTCCAAGTACTTTGCGTGATTTTTTTCCCTCTGACAACCTTACTTTGACTTCACCAGGGAAGCAGAGATGAGGTAACAGTCAATTTGGAGTCCCTTGCTTTGCCAGGAGAGTTAGGAGGATCGAGGATCTGCTTAACCCCTGCAATGCTCAGCTCCCAAAAGATGCAAAAAATTAAATACCCCTTCTGAGGCTCAGGCAGCACTTGCTGAATTCCATGTCTTTTCTCAAAAGCACAGGAGCGTAGGAGTCTCTTGAGAAAATGCCTGTGTTTTTGCTGGAATAGACAGATGTGTCTGTGCTTGGCCTCTGAGGTATTTGATTGTTTCTAATTGATACTTCTCAGGAAAAGAAAAAAGAGCCTAAGACAGATGTTTGGCCTGAGATATTAAGTCTAAACAGTTCAAACTTGGCAAACATACAGTAACCAAAAGCAAGATCTTATCAGAGGAAGTGCCAGACAGCTTTGACTATAAGTAGCACAACTTAAAACACGGGAACAGCATTATCTCATCTGCATGCTGCAGCGGAGTAGCTTGTACTTGTTTGCAAAGTGCCCCCATGTCAGACTTCCTGGGAACCTGCTTCTGGGGAGTGCAGAGGCAGCAAGGATGGATTTGCACCTCTGTCCTCTGGCTCTCGGCTGATCTTGCAGGCAGCCTGGTGCAACAAGAAATGCCTGGGCTTTTCCTTACGTACAAGCAAGTTCTTGCAGATGCATCAGAACAGATGTCTGGCTCATTCATATGTGCCGTTGGCACAGAGGAACTAACAATATTAAAGATCTGCAGATAGAAAATGGGACTGTGGGCAGGGAGTGGAGATCAAAGCTGTTGTGGTGGGAGGACCAAGGGATCTCTGTGCTGGAGACAGGAGTTCAGCCACTAACCCTCTGGCTGGGTTTGCAGCTTTTGCAGAGCCTCTCACCACCATAGTGCTGGCCAGTGAGCAGCTGATGGCAGGAGCGATACTTCCAGTGCCAGCTGGACCCCAGGGCTCAGACTTGGGGGGTCTGAATGAACCCAAAGTGGTTTTGCATGAGGTCCCCCACCATTCTGTAGCCTGCAGTGTGCTGCCCGAGGCCGAGCTCATGTTTTTCTTACTGTGTTGTACAGTATCAGGCCTGAAGCACCTCTGTACATGACTGTACTGGGGCAGGCATTGCCTGTTCTCCACAAGGGCTATGTGTACCCAGACTTTTTTGGCCAGCAGGTCTCTCCCCAGTATAGACCAGTCAACTAGAAGCCAGACCATAGCGCTTGGCTTTGGTGTGCTCTATGGTTTTGCTCCCCACACATACAGGGAGCTCCCCCATGCCGACAGCCTGCCTGCGATGAGCTGAGTTGGTCTGGCATGCATCTGGCATGACCTGGTCCTTTTTGGCCACGCGGTCACCTGCCTGCTGTTCTCTCCTAGCCTTCCGTGCCCTGCTGCAGATCCGGGCTGTGAGGAAGAAGCCGGGGGCTCTGTCACCGGTGTCGTTCAGCCCTGTCTTGGCACAGAGTGTTGACCATGACGAGCACTCTGTAAGTACCTTGTAACCCTGTGTACAAAGCCTGGGCGCTGGTCTCAGCCTGACCAGGCAGCTTGTGTGTGCACGAGTTGCTCGGCCTGATGGCTGGCGTCCCTGGGACCTCGGGAAGTGCACTCAGGCCTTGGAGTGAGGTCTTCCTGAGCAGTGCAGCTTCTCTTGTCAACCCTGCTAGACAGCCAGGATCTCTCCTCTCGTGGATTAGTAATACAAACGGTTTTAGCCAAATGCCCTCCTGTCTTTTGGACAAAACAAATCCACAGAAACCTCAGTCTGAGAAGGTTTCTCAAGGCCTGTCCCAGCAGAAAAGTAGCAGACTCTGGGCATGACAGGGTGAGAGCTGGGAAAGTGTGTGGGGGTTACAGTTTGACTTGCACAGACATCTGTGTGGCAGCATGCTCTGCTGAAATGTCCTTGGCATCGGGGTTCCCAGCACGATAGCAGAAAGGCCTCTTTGTGCCAGCCTCCCTGAGCGATCAGGGTCTCGGCAGGCAGCTGAGGGAGCGTGGGATGGAAAGTGTGTGGTGCTGGTGGCCTCGGGGCTCAGCCGCACGTCCCCAGTGGGGGGAAGGCAGCAGCTCATTGCCTGAGCAGTGCTGTTGCACAGCTGGCTCTGGCGAGACACATGAGATCAGAGTCAGGAGGAGATCTGCACCTAGATCATCTTACAGACTTTCATGGGAACAGAGAGATACTGTCACAGAAAAAGCCTGGTTTTATCCATCTGTCCTGTGCAGCATCGTAGCCCTGCTGCCTTCAGCTAGGACTAAGAAATAGGGCTGGGGAGAAGCCCTGAGTGTTGTTGTGAAGCAGAGTGTGGTGTGGAAAGGAAGCAGGTGCTGTCACCTGGAGTGAGGTGAGGAGATGCTGTGTGTCTCTTTGTGTCACTAGGTGAGGAGATGCTGTGTGTCTCTTTGTGTCACTAACCTCCAGAAACAACTTCTTTAAAACATGGTTTTCTCTTGACAGTGTCCCTTTAAACCCCTTAAAGCGAGCACTGTCTCCCTCCCCAGCAGGAAACCTAGAAGGGAAACAGTAAGTGGACTTGGTTGTATTCGGCAATTCCTTGCCAGCAGTGTCACTAGCACGTGGAAGTGTTACACATGCGAGGGCTTGCTAACACGCTGGGTTTGACTTGTGCCCCTGCACAGGCTGCGACACTCCACGTGCTGCCTCCATGTTAGCAGTGAGACGCTCACACCCTGCACAGACGTTCACTAACCTCCTTGGTTCGTGTGTGGAGGAATAAGCAAGATGGAAGCAGCTTGCCACAGGGGTCAGACGCTGTCTCTCAGGGACTGTCCCCAGGTCCTGAGCCTGGCTGCTTTATAGTTCCTGGCCAAGACATTTTCGTAGCTTTGTAGGACGGTGGGCAAGCTGCTGTCCTCTTGGCTCACCCCAAAGCTTCCTTGCACTTGTCTCATCCCCGTGGCAGTTTGGTGTGGGCACATCTTGTGGTTTCCACCCTGGTGCTGGGATGTAGAGGCAGGCAAATAGGCGCAGTTGGAGCAGGTCTGGCATTCAGGAACACTGGCTGCAATGGGCTGGTTTGCTTTTATAGAAACAGGAAGGATGGAGCTTGTTTTGCTGGGGACTTTCCAAGCTGGTGTGAGAGCGTGCAACTGGAACGCCGTGCTGGGGGCAGGATGAATGGCAATTGTGGGGGATGAGGAGCTGGGAGGGGGAAAGGTGAGGGAAGGCCCCAGGCCAGGAAGAGTCTGTTTGTGCCCTCTTTGCGTACTCCCATCAAATGCAGCTACAGCTGTCAGTGGTATAAAGGAGGCTGCAGTTTTCTTTTGTTGAAGCCAGCCTAGATGCTCAGCCTTATGAGGAAATGTGGCTCGCTGTGCTTGTCAGGTCTGGAGAAAACCTGAGGCTGGGTTCAGGTAGCAAGGCTATAGCAAGCTTGGCATGACCCTGGCTCTCTGCAAGCCTCCTACAGCGACTAGCGATACTCCTGCTGGAGCAGTGGGCTCTATGGGTTGTGCAGTGGTAAGTGCTCCAGGAGAGAGTGGTGTCTCTTAGGGTTGTTTGAAAGCTCACTAACTTGCAGTGAGGGTGGTGTAGCCATTGGCTGAGAAATTCTCCTCCAGCCTCTGAGCTGTGCTATGGAACCTGAGCTTTCACCACAGCAAAACAAAATGAGCAGCCTTTGAACCCTCAGGCCTTGTTCTACACAGTCGGGTGAAAATGTCCCAAACACAAACCAGGGGGTTTTGTCTCCCTGACTTTTCTGTCCACAAAATAGTGCCTCCAAGCTGCTGTCTGGAAATGAAGTGTTTTTGTGGAGATGGCTTTTGGCCCCACCACCTACAGGTGGCAGCAGCTGTGAACTGATGCCTTGTTCAGCTGACTCGGTTATCTTGCAATCACCAGCTGTGGTCTTCAGCACAAGCTCATGACCATCACCAAATCAATACTTGGGGAATGTGGGTTGATGCTTGACCCCAGGTGCTATTTATTCTGTCCTCCCCCTCAGATCTAGCTCCTTCTGTGACCACAAGTGAGTCAGTTCAGCAATCAACTCACATCAAATTAACGGCTGGGTTGGAAGGTGTTGCTGGGCAGGCTCATCTGCAGCTGTGTGATTGGGAGATCAGGCACAGAGAAGCTACAGGAGTTCATGGCCAGGCTTGGCAGCAACTCACCATCTTAGGTACAACATAGAACCACCTCCCTGAGGATACAGGGCTGAAACAGCTCGATTTAATGTGAGCCTGGACTGCTGCAGTCTTGCCTCTTTGTTTGCAGCAGGCTGGGCTGAGCTGACTATGGCCTGCTGGGTTGCGACACAAACCCTGTTTGTCTCCGAGTCCACAGGATCTTTGTGATCAGGAGGATTTTTGGAGTTGAAGCAGTGTTGGTTTCATGGCTTTGCAGGGGTGCCTTTGATTGGCAGCTTAGTGAGTTACAGAGGGAATGGGAATTGGTGCAGTTTTGCCCTCTTCCCTTACGGGGTCGGTGGTTCTGCGATCCCTTTCCCACCTTTTAGCAGAGGCGACTGCAGAGATCCAGCGTTAGCTGAGGGGACCGAGACCATGGGAGAAGTGGAAGTGGTGTAGTCTCCGAGGACCTGCTCTCAGCTGCTGCGCACGTGCTCCCCTCCTTTGACTCCCTCTTAGTGACACTGGTGTTGTGGTGAAATAGCTGTGTGTACCAGGGCTGGAAGCACAAGTGGGGTGCTTACTGAGCTTGGAAGGGTCTCTGAGCCACTGGAGGAACTGTTAGGAGAAAAAAAAACCCACCCAATTTTATAGCAGCTTTGATAGGAACCTGCTTTCTCACCCTCCTTGTCTGGCCCTTGAAAGAGCTCCCTAGTATGTCAGGGGGGTGCTGAGCCGTGTTCCAGCTTGCTGAGATGCCCAGTCTCTCAAGCATCGCTCTGGCAACTTGCCTGGACCATCGGTCCAGGGGAGTGTGTGGCTGTTGCAGGGGAAGGAGGCTGAGGCTCTCTGGAGAGGTGGCTGTGGGGATGGGCTGCTTGGGAGCGCAGCGTGGGAGGTGCAGGGCTGGGTTGCAGCGGGGCCTCCCCTTTCTAGAGGGGCTTCCAGCCTGGTGAGGGTTTTTTAACGTGCCCCTCTCTTTCTTGCCCACAGAGCTCTGACAACATCCCTCCAGGCTACGAGCCCATTTCCTTGCTGGAAGCGTTGAATGGCCTTCGTTCTGTTTCCCCCTCCATCCCATCAGCTCCTCTGTATGAGGAAATCAACTACTCTGGCGTGGTGGATGGGATGCCACCTGCGAGCCGCCCGCTGGTTGGGATGGACAGAGCCGTGGAGAGCAGCCATCAAAAGGGCAAGCGGAGCAAGTCTCCAGATAGGTCAGCATGGGGACAGGGGGTCCGCTCCTCTTGCAAGCCCTGAGGGCTTGTGGCCACACTCACTGGGAGCCAGGAGAGGGCTCTGGCTGGTCCTATCGCTGGTAGCACTGCTAACTCAGAATTTTAGGAGGCCAGCAGGTCCCCATGCCAGTGAGAGAAGTGGGACACAGCCCCTGTGTTCAGCCTGAAGCGATCAGCTTATGTCTGCTAAGGGCTGGCTTTGTCACCAAAAGAGAGGATTTTTAACAAGATGATTTCATCCAAACTTCGGATGGAAATGTCTCCTTTCCAGTGCACTTAGTCCCTCAATTTGCATTTGACATCCAAGCCTTCTTGGATTTCAGCTTTCCATGGAGATCCCCAGGAACAAAAGAATGGGGAGAGAACTGACCTGCGTTTTAGAGCACAAAATGCTGAGTGATATCCTTTAGCTGTTGTCTGAAGCCTCCTCTAGTGGCTTTGTGATGGAGGATGTAGGTGTGGATGCCGTGGAGTGGGCAGCCCACTGCAAGTGCCCTTCACGTGTCCCTTGCGGGGCTGTACAGATGGGGTCAGACTGGGTTTGTACCTCGCACTCATCACTGTGCTCCATTCCAAATTTCCCCCTGGGAAGGGAGCCCCTGAAGGTGTGAGGAGCAGCGTGGGACCTGGGCCTCTTGCTTTCCATGCAGAGGCAGATTTGTCCAAGTTGTGTTACTGTGCCGAAGCTCTGCACCGCTTGGCTCTGTCCCAAAAACTCTGCTGCTGCTGTTCTCTGTGTAGCTGCTGCTGGAGGGCCTTGGTGAATTTAGTTCAACAGTTTGAGTTCCTGCTTGTGCCTGTTTTCTTATGCTGTTGGTGGAGGGACAGGGGTGGTGACACCTCGAGCTGCAGCCACCAAATCTGCCAGGGCCTGTGGTGCTGGCAGCACCGCAGCTCCTTGCAAATGGAGTTTCTCTTGCCACAGCACACTACGGTCTCCCTCATCCCCAATCCATGAGGAGGATGAAGAGAAGCTCTCCGAGGACTCTGACTCGCAGCCAGCACTGAGTGGGGGTGAGCTGGTCCTGGGAGAGACCAGCTCTCCAGAAGTAAGTGTGCTCTGCTGGGGAGCTGCTCTGAGCCAGAGCTCTTCTGGGGGGGCTTCTTCTGGGACATGGGAGGTGCCTTGCAAAGGGCCATTGCTTCCTCAGTGACAGGGTAAAGATGAGCTTGTTAGCACGAGTCACCCAGAGCCAACAGTCTCAGCCACCTTTATTTTCCCACGGGGTTCCATGGGGAAGGATGCAGCCGCTCCCTGTGCCCCTGACACACCTTTGGGAGCTGGGATGTTGGAAAGCCACTCAGATGGGAGCCATGTCAGAGCTGACCTTCCCCCGGCTCCCTGGGCGAGACTGGCAGTGTTTGGGGCAGGGGTGGAAGCTGGAGCTTGCTGGGCTTCCAGCGCCCACTGCCATTGACTGCAAAACTCCATCCCGGCCCGTGGTGCCACAGCGCTGGTGGGTGGCCCCTTGCTCCCTCCCTGAAACAAGTCCTGGCCCCGAATGCAGCTCTCTAGAGGAAGCCAGAGGAGACAAGTGCAGCAAAGGCCTCCAGCCTGCAGAAATAACCCGTGCTGTTCCTCCTTACAGAGTGTGGCAGGGGAAGAGATCGAGGAGGCCTCGTCCCTGCAGCAGGGTAGGTGTGCACTCAGCCGTGGGGGTCACCAGACCTCATCTTGGTGGCCGGCTCTGCTGTGGTGGGATGGGGACAGTTGGGGAATGAACATACAAGTTCAGAAACATCCAGGCCCCAAAGTCCATCTCTGAGCTGCTTTGCTTCACGAGAGAAAGGTGCCAGGGTCTCTTCTGGGAAGTGGCGAGCAAAATCAACAAATCTCCCTGGTTTATTTGCCAAGCATCTCTCCTTGCTCCTTTCCGTGGCGCGGGCTGTCTCCTCGCACGGCTGAGGGGGAGATGGCTGCGTGCACCACTGTGGTCCTGGTGAGAGCGTGGCCATGGTACTGGACATTGCAGGATGTGCCCCATGTCTTCGGGATGGGTCTTGTGTGCTGGGTGCGTTTTGGGGCATCAGCCTGCATAGGAAGAGGTGGCCCTGTGGCCTGGGCTCTCCTGAGACCTCTGCAGGGCTGGGGGGGCTGGGGAGCTTCCTCACGTGGAAGATCTCAAGCCGTCCTCCTGGCTGCGTGCCCCTGCAGAGCTGGTCTGGGGACTGAGGGGCTGCGCTCTCGGCTGGTTCTAGGTAGCCGCCCGCCCTCCGTCGAAGACGTCCTGCAGGACGGCAGCTGCAGCGAGCACCGGAGCCTGACGCAGTCAGAGAGCGACCCACCGGTAGATGTCTACCTGCCAGGTAATGGCCGTGCCGTTGGGGCCAGACCTGTGCGGTGTCCTGCTGCATTTTGAGACACCCAGGGGCCCAGGGGTTTGTGGGCTGTGTGCCTGAGTGCCGCAGCCGTGGGATGGGACAGGAACGCACCTGCCCGGAGCATGGGCGCCCGCTTCCTCCGGTGGGCAGAGCGAGCTGTGGGCGAGGGGGGCTAACACAGAGGTAACTTGCCCTCCCCTTCTCTCTTCTCCTCCCTCACCCTTTTGTCTCTGTCCTTCCCCTCCTTTCTCCTCTCCGGGCTGCGGCCACTCCGTGGCACAGTTTATGTGGCAGTGGCCTCCCATGCCTGCCCCCAAACCACGCTCCTGCTTTCGGCCAAGGGAGGGGAACCATCTGGGCTGGCTTCTGGGAGACTGAGCCGGCACGGGGGGCAGCAGGCACCCCTCTGCCACGAGGCAGTGATGCGACGGGGATGGCTGCAGGGTGCCGTGCTTTGCTGGCAAGCGCAGCCGTGGGACACTGCGCTGTCCTCAGCCCCGACTGTTGTCGTTGCAGCCTGTTTTCTTCCGTAGAGTCGCAGTCTGTTCTGAGTACCTCTCTAATGTCTCCTTCCCTCTCTGTCTGCCTTCCTCCCTCCTGTCTTGGGCAGCACTGGGTCCCGATTCCTGCTCTATTGGTATAGAGGAGTAAGCTGGTACGTCTTCTCATTCTTCTGACGCATCGCTGTTGTGTGGGGCAGCAGGACACCTCTGGGAAAGCTGGCAGCCGAGCGAGAGCGGGGATGGGACTGATCCTGGCCATCTGGGCAGGGAAGGAGGGGCAGCAAACCAACTGGCCTGCACCGCTGGCTCCGTTCTGGCTCCATTCCCATTTCTGGCACCAGCGTCCCTGCGCCCCACTGGGCTCCCCACTGTCCCCAAGTGCCAGGACCTCAGGCAGGGCAGCGGAAGCCCTTGCCCTCCCCACCAGCTTCTGCCTGGGCTCCTGGGTGAGGGCTCTGCTGCCTGGTGGGCACCATGAACATCCAGGGCCACGGTGGCCCCTCCCAGGCTGGTGGCGGATAGCATGTCCCCTTCGTCTCCCATGTCCCACCTCTGCATCTTAGCAGGGGATGGAGCTCGTGGGCTCCAGCCCTGTCTCCTGCATTCAGTCCAGGGTAGGGAGGGGTGGGGGGGGGGTGCTGTCCTCCTTGGCCCATGCTGCCCTCTCTCCAGGGCGTACCCCGTGCCTGGGCTCTTTATTTGGCCCCAGGGCCGACACTCTTGGGGCTGAACCCCTTTCTTCTCACTCAGGCTCATCCGACTTCACCAAGACGCTCCCCGGCCGCGGCACCGGCAGGCCCCCCGCGGCCCCT